TTGGGGTGTCCTCGCGGGGGGGAGCGGATTTCTTGGCGTGGAGGAGGGAAAAGGGGGGGAGGAAGGGAGCGGGAATGCTCCGGAGCGCGATGATTTCATGGTGAAAAGGGCCCACACCGGGTGCTTTATTGAAAGAAAAGCTAAAAGGAGCAGGAGGAGAAGCGGGAGCTGGGATTATCCCACCTCGGCGAGCCCCCCGAAATGACACAAAGCCTTCCCAAGTCCCCCGGGAGGAGGTGACCGTGTCCCCCCCCCCTCCCCTTACAGCTCAGCCATTGCTCCCCGCAACCTTTCCCCCTTTCCCTGGAACAGATCGTTAATCCCACGGGATTTGCCCGTGCTGCAAATACCTGTGGAGGTCCCCGCGGCTCGGCTGGGGGGGGTGGTGGTGTTCAAAAGCAGCTGTACCCCCGCCCCAAAAATAAAAATCCCCCCCCTTGGGCTCGGGTTTGGTTTGATATATTTATTTTTTTTGCCTGAAATAAGTCAGTACAGGTGGCAGGATGTGAGGGATGGAGTGGAAAGGGCCGGATTCAGCCCGGCTGCCGCGGGGCAGGGAGGGCGAGCGTGGGGGTCCCGGTGTCCCAGGGGGGACAACACCGGCCTTTTGGGAGGAATTTCTTGTGTTTTGGAAGCTGGAGGCTGCCTGGAAGCGCTGGCTGCGGGGAAGGGATTTGGACGGGAGAGGGAAGGAACGGAGACGTGGCAGAGCGCCCAAGGCAGCTACAAAGGGAAGGGCTCTTCCCCAGGGGTCATCTGGATTCGCTTTCAGACGGGGCTGGGGTATAAATCCCGGCTCCCTGGGATCTCCAGAGACCCTCAGGATCCTTCAGGAGCGAGGGAGGCTGGGGGACCTGGCTGGCTGTGCTCAGGCTCGGCGCAACGTGGGAGCAGGAGCTCAGGGATGACTTTAATTCACTGGTTTTTGGAGATGCTTCAAGCCAACCCCCCAGCCCGGGCACCCCCATGGCACAGTGTGGCATGGCAGTGATCTCAGGGAGCTCTGGTGCTGGACAGGAAATCCAGATGGATGCTTAAGAGGAAGAAGGGATTCTGGCTTCTTGAATGGGCTCTGGGATCCACTTCCCACCTCATCCCCAGAGCAGTGCCCAGAACGGGGAGGCAGCCCAGTGACATTTAGTGATTCTGCTCTTACCCAGGTGCCAACTCTCCTGACACCCCAGTTCGTGCTCCTGGATGGGCAGAGGGTCCGGGATGGGCAGGGACAGGCAGGGATGGGCATTGTGGTCCTGCTCTGGACATTGGTCACATGAAGAAGGTGCCAAAACCGTCTCCCTGGAGTCCCCACGGCTGCAGTGACACCCCATCCTGAACTGTGATGTCCCACATTTGGGGGGTTTTGAGCTAAACGAGTGTTCTAAATTGGAGCTGGCAGATTTGGGTGGACATCAGGGTCTGCAGCTGATGGAAGGAGCCTGGCTCAGTCACCTCCACCTACTCTGTGCCTCAGTTTACCCCCTTGCCCACCACAGGGACCTGCCACGAGAGCCAGACAGTGCTGGGGGCTGTGGGATGGGCCACGAACGGGGCTGGATACACAGGGAAATGGGGGGGAAATCAGGGGACACTGCTGGGAATGGGCACCCAAAACAGGGCAGCGAGCCCCCCCTCCCCTGAGCCCTGTCACCAGGAGACCGGATCCTGCCCTGGGGAATGTGTGGCTGTTTGTGCAGAGGATTAATCCCAGGGACCCCCCTCGGCCCCGTGCCCGAGGCAAGGACAGTGTGTCCCATCCCAACGAGCCTGGAGGCAGTACCCAGCACTGCTGGTTGTCGTCGGGGACCAGAGTGAACACAGCGGGGCATTCCCGTGTTCCAGAGCACCCAGGGGAGGGAGAGGAGCCCTCCCATCCCTCTGATCCATGACAGGAACCGTGGCCAAGCTTCTCAGCTACCACCCGTGCCTCAGTTTCCCCACATCTCCTCCCATCCCAAGCCCAGCCAGGAGCAGAGCCATGAATCCCTCAGCACTGACAAGAGCCAGAGGGAACCACGTATTCCCGTGGGGAATCAGAGCTGCTTCTCCAGGGCGAACCCTGGGCACCCCCATCTCCCCGCAGGGGAGAGGCCGGGACACTCGGAGCATCCCCGGGTGGTACCTGGAGTGGAGCCGGGGGGTCCCACAGGCCCGGGGGGCGTCGGGCGGGCGGCAGCCGCTGTTCCCAGCGCCGGGATTCCCCGCAGCTGCTTCCTGCCCGTCCTATCTCACGGGCACATCTGGGGGAGCCGGGAGCGGCCGCCCCGCCGGCGCTTCCTGCGCTGCCCCCCCGGCCCCGGCCGCCGTTCTCACGGCCTCCCCCCAGGGCCAGCAGGAGCCCCCCACTTCCCCTCCCCACGCCTGACACCACAGCAGCCCCCCCCGTGTCCCATCTGCACCCCTGGGGGGTCTTACACCCCCCCTTGACCCTTTGGGGCATCCCCAGTGTTTTGAGGGGAGTGGAGCATCACACCTCCATGTCACCCCAACAGGGTGACCCCCCCCGCCCCCCAGGCCCTATGGGGGTCCATGGGCACGTGTGGGTGCCCCTGGCAGGGTGGGTGCTGAGGTGGTGTGGGGATGCCCCCCCAGTTTGGCGCTCAGCCCCCCCTTCTCCCCGCTCCTCCCCCTTCTCTCTCCACCCCTTTGATTCCTCCCTCCCCAAATTGCATCCCTCATTTCCCCTACAAAAGGAGGAGGAGGAGGATGGCCCTGGAGGGTGTGAAGGCTGCAGGTGTGAGCATCCCCCCCTCCCCCGGTCGCTGCAGGTGTGGGGACACTGGGGTGACTCAGAGGAGCCCGGGCCCCGCTGTCACCGCTGGGGTGATGAGTGAGGCACCTCCTGCCTCCCACGATATCCTCCCGGGGCCGGGGTGCGGCGGCGGGGGGGGCAGCGGGCACCCAGACCTGGCACCGCCCTCGCCACAGCCCCCCCCCACACGTGGGGAGCTCCCGCCTGGAGAGGGGAAACTGAGG